GAGAGAGAGAGAGAGAGAGAGAGAGAGAGAGAGAGAGAGAGAGAGAGAGAGAGAGAGAGAGAGAGAGAGAGTTGGTTACCATCTTTTGGGCAGCGCCCAAACTTGAACATGACTTCAGATTGAGACTATTGTGGGAGGCTATTAGAGTTCCACTCTCCTTCTTCCTCCCCCTACGTATCCCTCCTCCCACCATCCTACTTCTGTGTGATTCTCTTGCCATGTGTGTGCAGCACGCTGCATTCTCCTGTGTACATTCTGCCTGGCATGATCCGGTTGTATGATGGATTAGGTTAGAGTCATTTCTGGAGTTGGATGAGTCAGATCGGGACGTTTTCAGTCTGCCGCTGCATCAGTTGTTGGTTCTCACTTTGGGTGATTCGTTGGTTCTGCAGCATGCCTATCTGACGATTTCACACATGTGACATGGGGGGTCTGCAAATGGCTGACCAGCATCGTTTGGATGAACTGCCAATCTTTGCCTCACCATGCGCAGACCACATGGGTGATCTGCAAATGACTGACCAACAAACAGCCGAAGACATTTTGGGCTTGCAACACCATTGTGGAGTGTCTGCGAATTGTTGGCCAGCATCCACCACTCCATCCTGAGATCCCTGGCAATCTCTGCCATCCTACTGCAACTAATATCTGTGTTTGGATTCTCCACTGCCTGTTTTATGCACCGTTAGACTTGCAATTGCCCGTCAGCTTGATGCTGATCTTCCCTGCCTACAGCCAGAGGATTGTAATTATACCTGGGAAGGAGACTTTACCATTGCTGTCCTACAAGTAGCCATGAGGAACAGCCAACTTGAACTACGCAATGCTTAAGCAGGCGAGCGGTTTAATCCTCCATCACATCTCTGCCTGCATTGTACACGGACCTGGCCATTACATGGCCATGGTACGTGCGTCTGACCACTGGGAGCTGTGGGACAATGACATCATGGTCCATGCCATGACTCGTGTTACTGATTTCTTACAGAATGATGCTGTTTTCTTGCTAGACCAAACCGTCTGCAATCTGTTTTATGTGGAAGATCATTCTCTGGCCCAGTGCTAGGACAATGTACCAACACTCTGTGACCTTCTCCTTTGCACAACTACGACACTGTTACACGGCTGTTGCCTCCATCGCCCATGTCACAGCACTACAATGCCATGGTTTCTGCGTCCATTTGGGTAGAGAACTGTCCCTCCGTTCCTGACTGCAGGCACCCTCTGCATCTGGTCACGATATATCCGTTTTGCAGCCATGGGTGTTGCACTGAATTCATGCTCTTTTGTGGTGCCCATTGTTCCTTCATGTTGACCTGCAATCGATGTACCATTTGTCACGGTGTATGGTGGGCATGCTCAATGCCAGCCGTCGTGGCAATTGTTGTACTGAGAATGCTCAACTAAGTTTTCCATGTGTTCATCCACCTCATCCTTACAATGTATATCCTCTCTGTTGTGAAGGACAGACTGATTCTTGATCCTTTTCTTATCCTTTGCTTTCATATTCATTCCGCAGTCCTTACTTTCTCTTATTTTCCCGTCTTTCTTTGCTTTGTCTTCTCTTGATCTCTTCTCTGTGTTTATTCCCTGCCCCTTTACTCTGCCTCTTTCTCATAATGTCCTAGTGGGCCTTTATGGCATAGGGGATGAGGGAAGCTCACGCTCAACTTCATCAATGTGGCGAGTGTTGTACATGAGAGGCACACTAAAGGGGGAGTTTGAATGTTTTCAGTGTGCTCTTCATGTTTTTGTTGCGTATTTTTAGTGTTTTGTTTCCAAAGTGCGCTCTTCTAGTTTGCAGATATGTTACAATATATACATAATGTTTCTGCAGAACCACAGTCAATAGTTTCATTATCTTCCCGGCGTTGTCTTTCATAGTGTCCAACTACATGAGGTGCAGTCCGCATAAGCTCTGCACAGTCAATCCGTTTGCCTTCTTGATCTTGAGGGGAGTACTTGAACTTAACCCAGGATATGATGCTGGTCTTCCCTTTCATTGCGGTACTTGCCTCCCCACCTTGATTCTGCTTATGTCTGCGTATCTGTCCATGGTAGGAGGATGTAACTTCTTCCTGCCTACGAGTTAAGACACGTCATAGGCTATCAGCTTCAATTCATGAGAGATTGGATAGGTTCTCAGCTGCAGAGGGATGCCCACAAGGTATGAAGGTCCGTTAGGATCTTGGAGGATAACATGTGGATTTTCTGATGGCCTGCACCACTTAATTATTAGTTTTCTTCACAGATCTCCTCCTGCTGCAAACACATCCATGCTCAGCTCATACCAAACCTCCATTCATAAGGACAGAAAGTTGATGATGCTTGTTGGTTTTTCAGCCGCCTGCACACTCCTGATAGCCTGTTTGAAGTTCCTTATCAGCTGCTACCTTCTTCCCCCCAATACAGCGCACGGTCATTATAGCTGTGTTCGGGGCATCTTTCAGTCTAAATACAGCTATAATGACCGTGTGTCAGTGTTGCATCCCTGCCGACCGCCGACCCTGACCGCCGACCGTATTGCAGCCGACCAGTAGGGCCGACCGGTCGGCGGTCTGCCGACCAGTCAGAAAACAACCATCCACTATTTTTTT